GATGCCTTCTTGGAGAAAGACACACTAACTGGTATAGATAGGCAAAGAAATGTCCAACAGAGGACCAATCTGCAAAGACTGGGAGAGTATTTCTTCTCTGTTGGCTCCACATTTAAGGAAATCTGTCACATCACTAGTTGATAACACAAAGGTAGCAGAACAGAGATTGATGTATGACAAAGAGTAGTCATGACCAAACGTTTAGAAAAAATCACTAAACAATTATAAACCACAATTAGCAGCAAAAAAAAAAAAGGGATGAATCTGATTTCCAGTGACCACATGAGAATATACAAAATGCCCAGTTTTCAGCAAGAAATTATGCATGCATAAAAACAGTAAAGTATGGCCTAGTTACAGGGAAAAAAAAAGGAATTATCCTTGAGGACTCAGATATTTTACTTACTACTTAAAAACTTAAAGTCAGTTGTCCTAGTGAGCCAAATAGCTTAAATAAACAAGGAGAAATATGTATGAACTAACAGAATGTGAATAAAGAGATAGAAATTACAAAAATGTACCAAGTAGAAATTTTGGAACCATAATAATTCACTTAGAGATGTTCTCCCCAGCAGATTTGAGTAGGCAGTAGAAAGTATCAGTGAACTTGAAAATAGGTCAGTTGATGTTATGAAATCTGAAGTAGAGACAAAAAAGAATGAAGAAAAATGAACAGAGCTTAAAGCACTTACACTATAAAATGGTTGCAGTGGTAAATTTTATGTTCTATGAATTTTATCCCAATTTTTTAATTGTAAAAGGCATAAGTGGTGTGGTACTGGCATAAAGATAGACATATAGACAATGGGATAGAATTGAGAGTCCAGAAATAAACCCACACATCTATGATGAGTAGATTTTCAAAAAGTGGGTCAACACCATTCAGTGATGAAAATGGTATCTCCAACAAATAGTATGGGGTTTACTGGATATCCACCTAAAAAAGAATGAAGTTGGATCCCCCATCTTACATTATATATAAAAATGGCTCAGTTGACTTGGCACAGTGGCTCAGGCCTCTAATTCCAACTATTTGGAAGTTAGAGATCAGGAGGATCAGGGTTTGAGGTCAACTCAGGCAAAAAGACTCCACTTCAACAAGCAAGTCAGACAGTAGTGGAACACATCTGTAACCCAAGCCACACAGGAGGCATAGGTAGGAGGATCATGGTTCAAAGCCAGCTCTGGGCAAAAATTTGAGATCCTATCTGAAAAATAGGGTAAGAGGTGGCTCAAGTTGTAAACAGCTTGCCTAGCAACTAGTAGACCCTAAATTCAAATCTTAGTATGACCAAATAAAGAAAAAAAATGGATCAATAAAAAAGAGCTAATACTATAGAACTCCCAGAAAATAGGGGTAGTTTCATCACCTTGGATTTAGTGATGGAATATTAGATACAACATGAAAACACAAGTAATAAAAGGAAAATGGATAAATTAGACTTTACCAACATTAGAAACTTTTGTGAGGCCTGGCACTAGTGACTCATGTTTGTAATCCTAGCTACTTAGAAGGCTGAGATCAGGAGAATCTCAGTTTGAAGCCAGGGCAAATAGCTGTGAGATCCCATCTCCAAAATAACTGGAGCAAAATGGACTGGAAGTGTGGCTCAAGTGGTAGCGTGCCTGCTTAGCAAGCTTAAAGCTCCAAGTTCAAACCCTAGCCTCACGGGGAAAAAAAAAAAAAGCTTTTTGTGAATCATAGGACATTATCAAAAAAGTGAAAAGTCAACTAAAGAATGGAAGAATATATTTGCAAATCATAATATTTCACTCCCATAAGGATAGCTGCATTATGAAAGAAGAATACATCCAGTGTTGGGAGGATATGGAGAAATTGGAGTCCTCTTATGTTGATGGTGGGAATGTAAATGGATGCAGGTACTAGAGAAAACAGATTGGCTCTGCCTTATAAACTTAAATATAAAGCTACCATATAATGGAGCCTTTCCACTTTTAGGGATATACTGAAAATAACTGAAAACAAGTACTCCAAGAGTTATTTTTACATGGATGTGCATTGCTCAGTAGCCAAATGGTGGGAATAATCTAAATGTCCTTCTGCCTATAAATGGGTAAATAAATTGTGATATATACATATAATGGAATTATTTGGCAATGGAAAGCATGGAAGTACTGATTCATGCTGTAACATGAATAAACCTAGAAACATTAAGTGGTAAAAGCCAGACAAAATATTCATATGATTAAGCAGTTAAGATGGTGAATTTTATCACAGCCGTGCATAATAAACCTCATAAGGAAAGAAGGCAAGGCCATTCCAGACTAATGGAGTCTACAGAAACATGACAACTAAATGCAGTCTTTTTCCTAATACATCCTGGACTAAGGGCAGGTGGAATGGCTACAAAGGAAATTACCGAGACAATTAACTGAATGTGAAAATGGACTGGATTAGATTATAGTGTTATCAATATTAAATCTCATGGTTTTATCAGATTTATTCTGTGGTATGTAAGAGAATGTCTTTACTCATAGGAAATATATGTTGAAGTATTTAAGTGTAAAAGAGCATGCTGTCTTCAGTTTACTTTCAAAGTGCTATAGAGAAAAAAAAACCTCTATAAAATGATAAAGCAAATAAGGTAGTATGCTGGTGGATTTAGGTAGAAAGTATGTACTAGTTCCTTATATACTCTTTGATCTTTTCTGTGATTTGAAGTTAATATCAGAATTAAAAATTACCAACAAAATTAGATTTGTCTTTTTATTATCTCCTGAGCAGTCCTGTGGTCCAGGTATTGTTAGAAAAGTAACATTAGGTATACTTCTTTTGCTCAGTTCTGTCTGTAGTTGTCATGTCTCTGTAGACTCCATTAATCTGTAGTGGCCTTGCCTTGATCTTCTTTATTCTTTCCTTATTTCCTTTTGTCTGTTTCTTGACTTCTGATTCCTAATGTATTATTTATTTTAATTACATATAGCAATCTCTCCATGAGACTATTGTTGTTAATTACTCAGCTTCTATTCACATTTATTCTTGTTAGTAATGGTATGCCTTTGGGACCTATTCTCATTTCATGTATTTTTTCCTGCTCACATACTTTACAACATCTTGGAAAATGTCAAAAATTAACTATTTGTTTCTTTTATTTTTAGAAATTTAAATACTAACTTTCCAGTGAATGGCTTTGCTCCCCTCGTTCTCCTCCAATGGCTTTTTTGGTCTGAAATTTATGCTTAATTTCTTGGTAGAAAATCAAGTATGGTGCAAGATACAACCTTAATTAGAATATATTAGGTAGGCTATGTGCTCATTTTTGTTGTCAAGTCAAAGGAATAATCTCTAAATATTATATAAAACCATATCTTCTGTCTTCCACAAATAAAGCCAGAGAGGTCCTTTCTTAATTGCATCTGCCATCAAAACCTGGTACTCTTTGCTGGTGTTCAGCTGTGAATTTTTACCTGTCCGTGGTCACTATTTCATGAACAAGCAAAGAAATATCGTGTAGAGGCTATTGTGAATGAGTTTATTAAGATCATGCAGCTTGACTCATGATGATTCATGAGGTACTTGGTTTTCAATTGGTTAACCAGTTTTCTTTTCTTTGTGACATATGATGGGATCTCCACTAGACAGAGGTAACCCATTGGATAGTCGTGTGCCTGGATGCTGGTGTGGTGGTGCTTGTTGGTTTAGTCTTCATGATACTCCTCCCAAGTTATGCCTGCAGTGCTGCCTCTTATTTCCTGCTTGCATGAGAGTATTACTTTGATTGCACTTTGTTTCTTTGAGTTCTTACAACCTTTTTTTTTGGTACTTAGAGTAATTCCAAAAATATCTTTGCTTGGTCCAGAACTTATGGCAGTTTGTTCCAAGTGTAACTCTTCGGTGGATCCTTTTCAGTTTTTGAAAATATCTTCAGTGTCACCACTAAGTTTATGCTTTGGTTAGGAACTTAGAAAACAAGGATAGGCTTGGTTAAACATGTAGGAAAAGACCAAATTTTAGGAGAAAGCTTCATCAAATAGTTGAAATTTAGGAGCCTCCACTAAGGTAACTAATATGATTAGATTAAGTTGTGTCCAAGCCATGGTATGCACATTTTAATTTGGCATTTCAGATTCTATTTACTCTGCATACTGTTCTGTATTCCAAAACTGAGATTCTCGGTGTCATAAAGTAAAAACTCAAATTCCTATTTCAGAAGTGACTTGAGCATTTGTATGGTCCTTGGAAGTAGTTGCTTACCTCTTCATTTCTGATCATGAGCAGTATAGTTTTTCTTGAGCAGTTAGAACTAATTTCTGTTTTAGTTTTTCATGTGCTTATTTTGATTTTTTTAACTAGGTTACATACCTCTTTAGAAGAAGGCAGTTTTTTTCTAAACTAAAACACAAGGCCAGGTGCTATGGCTTGTGCCTGTAATCCCAGCTCCTCTGGAGGTAGAGATCAGGAAGATCATGGTTCAAGGCCAGCCCAGGCAAAAAGTTAGTGAGACCCCATCCCCACAAAAATGCTGGGCATGGAGGCATGTATCTGTCATCCCAGATAGCTGGAGGCCTAGATAGAAAGATGATTGCCTATCCTGGGCAAAAATGTGGGAACATATTTGAAAAATAACCTAAAGCAAAAATCTCTTGAAGCCTGGGTTAAGTGGGCTTCAAGTTGCTAGGCTTGCACTTGAACCTGAGTTCAGACCACAATACCATCAAAACAACTAATTAAAATAAAAAATAAAGCCAGGTCTGAAGTAGGTCTCTATATTCAATGGTAGGGGTTTCTAAAATTAAAATTATTTTCTGGTGTTCATATTAACCCAGTGTTTAAATGAAAAAAAAAATCTTTTGTCTTTGAAGTTTCATTATCTTAAAAAACTGTAAAGGATCCATTTTATAGGGCCATGAGAGAAATGCTTAAGATAAGAATAAATAGCATAAAACTGTGAGATAGATGGTGACTTATTTCTTATATTTGTGTTCTAATCCAGTTATATCTTCTTTTTATTTTTTGCTTGGACCTATACATTTAATAGAAAATTGCCCAGGAACGAGAAAAATTCGCTGATGAAGGGAGTATATTTTACACCCTTGGAGAATGTGGGCTCATATCCTTTTCAGATTACATTTTCCTTACAACTGTTCTGTCCAGTAAGTATAAACTTTTCCTTTTATTTGTTTGTAAGGAACATGCAGTACTAGAAAAACAGTTAACTGAATGGAAAAGCAAGACATGTTGGTGGAGTTAGCAAATTACAAGTTTTATATTTCATTTGTTTTGAGTTTTCTGTAATTCATGTTTAGAGTCACCTGAAAGAAAAAGAAAACCTAAAGTATCAAGGAAAAGTTTTTTTGTTTTTTGGTGGGAGTGGGGTTTGAACTCAGGGCTTCACACTTGAAAAGCAAGCACTCACAAAGCAGGCACTCTACTGCTTGAGCCACACCACCAGCCCTCAAGGAAAAGTTTTAAAAGAAACTGCAAAGTTCTATCTACCTTTAACTATCTAATACTCTGTATCTGTCAAGATGAATGAATGAAGGTTACTCTTGTAGCCTTCACTAACATCACTACTAAAACACACTTGGATCTATTGTTTCTTCCACTTAGAAGACAGTTGGCTGGCTGGTCTTAATTGAGTTGATATTTATTTTTTAATCTTGGAAGAATACTTCTGGAGACACAAAACTTAAAGTTGACTCATTTAGAACATGGATGAATTTCTGATTTTTTTAAGTTAAATAATTTAGAGTGTACACTTCTGTGTGACTTTTTGTTTTATTTTGTTTTAATTTAAAACATTCAGAAAAACTTCATAACTCTCTGTGTGCTGTCTATTAAAAATGTAACCTAATGTGAACTAAAGAGTTCAGATTTATATGTTTGAAAGAAGTGACGGGGACATATAAAACAGAAACAAGCACCTTCCCCCCTCCTCTGGCCCAGTCCTCCAGAAAGATAAAACTACAAGACAATTTTTAATAAATGACATACATGGTTTCTGCCCGTGCCTATGACTGCTTTTTAATCCTTATTCCCTCTCTGTAACAGCTGACAGGGAAAAGAAAGAGTATAGATTTATGTCTTATCACAGCTGACATTGGGGCACAAAGTGTCTAAATTAATATGTGTAGTGAACAGTGCTCTGACAATGAAAATATGTACTGACTGACTATGACAATCCAAAATAGTAAACTAAATAAAAGCACATTTCTGGTCTTAAGTTGTGTATTATTAGGGTGAGTTAGCATGTTAGTAGGACATGGGTTTTTGAAATGGACTTCAGTTCAAATCCTTGCCCTGACTTAGCTCTGTGATTTGGGGCAAACCAATGAATTTGTTCTTCTGTTTTTGTCTGTAAAATGAAGATGTCAATAATACCAAACCCAAATGATTTGATTGAGGAGTGTGAAAGTATGAATATAAAGTACCTCATTCAGTGCCTAGTATTTAGTAGGTATGAAATCTGTCTTGGGTTTTATTCTTGATATCCTATCCCAACGTGTTATGTCATGTCTTTTTCAAAAGCCTTGTAAATCTCATCTTTAAAAAAAATGGCCAGAATTGGTAGAGGCTTTAAAACTTCATGACTTTAGATAGAATTGACATTGAATGGCATAAAGTGGCATTAAATGTGGAAATCGGTTTAGAGAGCTTCAGTGAGACATAATATGGAAGTAGTCCTAGTAAATGTTCATTAAGCTGAAATGAGATTTTTAACTTGTATCTACTGCCTAGTCCCATTACCTTCATACCTTGCTAAGTGTCAGAGGACCTCATAACAGAATCTTCAGAGTACCTGGCACATTATGTAGTTCTCTTAACAACTATTTAAAAGCATGTTTAAACCAGTGCAGTGGCTCACAGCTATAATCCCAGCTATTTGTGAGGTGGAATTGGGAGGATCATGGCTTGAAGCCAGCCAGACAAAAAGCTAGCAGATCATCTCATCAAATAAGCTAGGCATGGTGGTTCATGTCTATAATCCAGCTACCCAGGAGGCGTAGGTAGGGGGATCATTGTCCAATGCTGGCCCTGGGCAAAAAGCACAAGACCCTATCTGAAAAATAACCTAAAGCAAGAATGGTCTGGAGGCATGACTCAAGTGGTAGGAGTATTTGCCTAGCAAGCATGAAGACCTGAGTTCAAACTCAAGAACCACCAAAAGAATAAATAAAATAAAAGGCATGTTTTTTGTTTTTTGGTTTTTTTAAAAGTCACATTGATCTTTGAGTTCTAGAAACCCCTCCAAGTAACTCTGCTGGCTTTGGCACCTTTACTTTTGGGTACTCAGCACCTAGTTTGATTTTGGTGAGTGATTTGCAGAAAATGACTTACAATACTATGTAACTTGCTTGCTATGTCAGGAATGAAAAAAAACATAATAAAATGATGTTAGGACTTTATCACTGATTTTAAGCATTTGATTACACAACGGTTTGTCACTTTCTCAATCTTAGCTGTTGCTGTTTGGGGTAGTATAATTACTTTATTGTTGTGAAGGCTGTCCTGTGTGCTTAGCAACCTGTCTGACCTCTACCCGCTAGATGCCTCTATTCTGCCCCTCCACCAGCTGTGACAGCAAAATGGTCTCTAGACATTGCTAAATGCTTCCAGTCTAGTTAGAAACCATTCATGTCATTTTTGGCAATTTTTTAAAATTACTATTATTATAGTGCATCTTCATGTAGTTTTCTTCATATTTCTTGTCTTAAGGTTTGTAAATTTATACTTTTCTTCAAATTTGGAAAAATCTTCAAATACTTTTTCTATAAACCATCTTACCTGGGGGACTCTAATGATAAATATTTTCCTTACTTTAGCCCTATAATACTTATTTTCATTTTAAAAATGAGGAAGCTGAAGCATACAGAGAACTTACCCTTAGTCCCATATTGAATATATAGAACTTACTCCTAATCCCATAGAGAGTATGTAGATAATTCAGGATTCGAACCTGGACTGAGCTCAGCATCTGAGCTCCTGTGGCTTGGTTTTACTGATGCAGTCACATTTTCAGCAGTGATAGCCTTAACTTTACTGCCTCTTCTTTCTCAAATGCTGAGCTGTGGAAAGGCTGTTCAGAAACTCTCCTGAAGATAATGGGCATCCTTGCAATCTGAATGTTTCACACTGCATTGTTCACTTTATCTAACAAGCCACTGGGGAAAATAATGCCACAGAAATGACACTGAGATCAGTTCTTTCCCATGTTCAAGTTGCTGCTCAGATGACAGGAAATAAGGCACTCAGTCTATCTCCTTCCCTGTGGGTAACAAGAGATCATTAGTCTAAATACAGTAAATGGCTCCCAAGTCATTTTATGAGAAGGCATGTCATTCCTTAATCTTCAAAAGCTTTGCTAGCAAATGGTTGAGGACTGGGCAAATGTATTAGCATATTTATTTGTCTGTTAAGCAGCAAGGGCCACAGAAAACTAGCTAGTACAGTACCAAGGGCATCACTCAGATGATTCGGGACTGTCATAGTTCCAGTTAGCTGTTTTCATTCAAAGTCAATAGACTCAATGATGTTCAAGTGATTGCCATCATTTTTAGTAATATGAACACTTGGCCCTAATGGATTGAAACTTGGAACCCCAGAGTATCTTAGAAGCTCTACTATGTTGTCTAAAATAAAATTCAACAACTATATATAGGAAATCATTTTCTTTCTCACTTTACCTCCTAAAAATAAAATCAAGAATGCTGCTTTTCTAAAGAAATTGTGTTACGCAGTAAAATTTCCTCCATTAAATTCCATTAAATGGAGTTAACTCATATTGAAACTTTTTGGAAGTTTGATTTTTCTGAATAAGATTTTCTGGCTTCCAGAATAACAATCAACTTAGCAGAAATATCTTGCTAACAATTAGTGGCATGAATTTTTCATTCTTCTCTATATGTGATTTGGATAAAGGGCCTTCCTTGGCTGACCTGAATATTTTAATGCCTTTTATCTTACCTAATACACACACATACACATATATACCTCCTAAACTCTTTTTTGCTTTATTTTTTTTCTCTTTGGCACTTACCACTATTTAACATTCTATATACTCATTTCTTTATCTTATTTATTATCTATTTCCAATCTAGACCAGAAATTGCATAACAGTAATAACAATCTTGTAATGATAGTCACTGCAGTCATATTTGCTATACATAAAGTATTATGGCAGAGAAGCAGAACAAGAGTCTAAAATATGTTGGCTTTTTTTATCTTATCCAAAAAAAAAAAGTTTTCCAGATATAAAATTGGACTTTGTTGATATCCTAAACCTAGAATAGTCCTTGTAGCTTGTCTTCAGTCTGCAACTGGTACCAGAGGAGTGAAGAAAACCTACTTTTTGATTAATGTATTTCAAAACAAGCTTGATTTCTTATGATAACTTAGAACTTGTGTATTTATACTTCACCAGTTTTAATTCACAAATTCTGTTGTTTATAACTTGCTTCTCTGATCAGCATGTTAATTAACAGATTAACTTGAATAGTTTCAGCATGAATATCTATATTAAGTAGAATATTAAATATTTACTAGGTACCTACTCATTAATAAGTTCAGATTTATTCTAGACAAGATGAAGAGATGGTTAATGATTATTATTAAATAATTTCCAAAGAGCCTCTGATCCTTAAAGTAGGTTAATAAGAATTGAGTGAGAATACACAGGCATGGTTATTAATAGCTTAATTCTCTGCACTAACCAACCACAGCATTAGCTGCTGGCCTTAAATCTTTTAATAGAAGTCAGAGATTTTTCTTCATAACCTCTAAAGGTTATTGGGATTTATTTGGAATGCTGATTTTTTTTTTTTTTTTTTTGTGATACTGGGGGTTGAATGCAAGGCCTGGCTCTACCACTTGAGTCACTCCACCAGTATTTTTTGCATTAGTTATTTTTGAGATAGTGTCTTACTTTATGCCCAAGCCTGCCTGGACCACAATCCTCTTATTCATGCTTCTCTGAATAGCTAGAGATGATAGGCACTTTTTGCCTGGACTGGCCTTGAACCACAACCCTCCCAATCTCTATCTCCTAAGTAGCTAGGATTATGGGCTTGAGCAACTGTACCTGGCTAAATATTATCTACTGATTTGGATAATTCTTTCTAAGATTCAGTACATGATGACCTACAACTCATAATAC